TTTAAATAAGTGTTTTCTGAGTCAGCAGCATCACAAGGAAAGAAAATTAAATTTAAGCGGAGAGGGCATGGCAAGTTCTTTAAATAGGGCCAACTGTTAGAAATTGTTGGAATGAGGGCAGAAGCAAGGTGAGGAGGCTTCTGATAAAATAATGCTTATCTTCAGACTCACCTGGCTTCTAGGCAGGACCCTTCAAGAGAAGAAGCACATCTTTTTGATTTAGTGTTTGCAGCCCCAGCGAGGTGTTTACCATTCGGTGTGGGCAGACAAGGCTGGTGGATAAATGATGGGATCCTAAGTGACATAGACAGCCAGGCCAATGCAAAAGCCTGTGATTCGGAGCCAGGCGGGCCTGGGTTTGAATTCTAGATCTGCTGCCTCCCTTCCTGAGAGACCTGACACCTTATTTTACCTGCTGAGACCCTGTCTTCTCTGTTGAAAAGCGGGGACACTTCCTGTTGAGATGTCAAGGAGCCAATACCAACCCTTTCACTTCAGAGTTCTGAACCAGACTGTGAGAATGATGGCAATTGACTTATTAGCCTAACATGGAGGGACCTGGAGAGTATTATGCTAAGTGAAGCAAGCCAACCAGAGAAAGACAAGTATCACATGATCTCATTCATATGTGGAATCAAATGAACAAAATAAACTGATGAACAAAATAGATCCAGAGATGTAGAAGCATAGAACAGACTATGGAACCTCAAAGGAAAGGCAGGGGAGGGTGGAAGGGTGGGAAGAGATCAAAGAACTTGTATGCATATATCCATAACCCGTGGACACAGACAATAGGGAGGTAAAGGCCTGGGGTGGGAGGGGAGGCAGGCTAAAAGGAGTCAATGGGAGAAAAGGGGGAACATATGTAAGATTTTGAACAGTAAAGATTTAATTTACAAAAATGATTAGCTTAATTACGGTAAAGGCAGCTGAAGTTATGGCTTACATCTAAGGACAAATAGTTTTACGAGTTGCTCTGGCATAAGTCAGTGGAAATGTCAGGAGTGGGAATGCAGCTTCCCTCAAATTTTCAGGAAGCCCCTCTGGGGAGAAAATGAGTCCCGAGCATTAGTGACAGCCCACACCTTTCCTGGGCTGCATCTGGTACCTGCAGTTGAACCTGCTGGATTCGGTTAGGCTGTGGCTAGTTTCCTTACTTAAGCACCAGAGAGAAGACGCCCGAGAGCAATGGTAACTTTTAAAGAAGGCTGTCACATATCATATGCGAGTCAGGGAGAGAGTTATTTTAACTACTTGGAAAAGTTTATAAGATTCCTGAAACCTGTGTGCTTCCACCCTCTTTGCTATTTTTATTGCCAGCTGTCTACTCTCCTAGAGTGATTAGCCAAAAGCTCTTAAAATGGAAGGATCTGTGCCGAAGCCGGTTTGGCTCAGTGGTAGAGCGTCCCTCTGCGGACTGAAAGGTCCGAGGTTCGATTCTGGTCAAGGGCATGTACCTTGGTTGCGGGCACATCCCTGGTAGGGGGTGTGCAAGAGGCAGCTGGTCGATGTTTCTCTCTCATCGACGTTTCTAGCTATCTCTCCCTTTCTCTCTGTTAAAAATCAATAAAATATATTAAAAAAAAAAAAAAGGAAGGATCTGTGTGCATATTTTGGGTGGCAAAAAAGAAAACAGCGGTGAGGTAACTGTTCCTGCCAAGTGGGTGAGGAATCCCAAGGTGGACAGTGGGCTGTAGCATCCTGTAGTCTCGGGACTCTGTGGAAAGGGGGGGGGGCAGTTATGGAATAGCAGAGGGAACCTGGGGGTAGAGAGTGAATCCAGGACAGAGAAATTACCCTGTGTCCTTAACTAACAAGAGACCCATGGAAAGATTTCCTTAATGTAGCCAGATTAAAATTAATACTTATAACAGCCAAGACATTTTTTTTTTGAATGTTTTCTAACTTAAAACAAATCCAATAGCTCTTTTTAGCAACTTAAATGCAGATAATTTAATTTTGGGTAAGATTCTTAGATCAAGTGAATTGAATAAGGTGGAAATTAATTCATGTCTCAGCTGTCAGAAAGTGATCAGGATTTGGGAGTTGTTTGACAATGATCCATATATATTAGTTTTTTCCTAGATCTTTTGACTCCTTGTATTTCATCTTAAGAGTGGCAATTAAGAGTGGGAAAACATTGCCCCCACCCCACCCCCAATCCCCTCGACGGTGGCTTAGAATCCACTGAAACTTGTGGGGTAAACATTTTACCCAAATATAAACCTTTTAGTGATTAAGCTAATTTACTCTTTTCAAACTGTGACATCCTGTTTATAAGAAGGGAGATTTATAAAAAGTCATCTTGAGCTTGAACCTGACTCCTCAAATCAACATTTTGGTGAATTTAAGTGTTAAATGAGTCACAACTATTTGGATGAAGATTTTCTGGTTTTGAAGAGAAAGTACTGGGAAAAAAATGTCATTTTGGTTTTATTGAAATGGAAACATTTGAAAAATAGAATTTGCTGGTGAGCCTATCATGTGACAAGTTTCCACACACATTTCTAAGTCACTTCTGTGAACCGGAGAGCTGCAGCCCCCAGGGCCAAGCCTTAACCATCAGGAGATGAATTTAGCCTCCATAATCCTTCCAAGAAATGATGTTTTTTTTAAAAAAAACAAAACAAAACATTGCACAAGGTAAAAAAAAAAAAAAAAAAAAGATCACATTTTGAAGGTAACATTATTTACTTTGAAATGTATTCTTAAATGAAGTTAACATCATTTGCCTGATAGAAAATTGGTCTCCTTTTACTCTGACCCTTTAATACTTGAAAATGTCATTGCAGGCAATTCAAAGTTTAATTGAGATAAAGGAGTCAAAATTTTATACTTGATTTAAAAAAAAAAAAAGCTTACTCACGAATATGTTTCCTTGACTTTTAGAGAGAGAAGGGAGAGGGAGAGAGAGAGAAACATCTATGTGAGAGAAATCTTGCTTGGTTGCCTCCTGCAGGAGCCTCAACCAGGGATCAAACTACAACCTGTGAATGTGCCCTGACGAGGAATCGAACCAGAGACCCTTTAATGCATATGGTAATGCTCCAACCAATGGAGCCACACCAGCCAGGGCATTACATTAGGGTTTTTTTTGTTTGTTTGTTTGCTTTTAAATCAATAGTGGCTACATATTAGCTGTTCTTGTGAGTGGATGGGTTAAATTTTGAGAATTGAGTATATCCATGGCCCCTGTCTAAACATCCCAGTCTATCTGCTATTGATTCTGTAAATTTAAGGATCCTATTGGGTATCTCCACCTGTTTGTACTTCAAGCACATCAAGTTGCTTCTCTTTTCTTTGTCACTCTTCCTTCCCCCGTGTTTCCTGTTCAGTACCTGGCACCATCTCCCACGTGAAGGCCTCTGGTCATTCTAGAGCCTTCCTCTTACTTACGGTATTACACCAGCTAACTGGTTGTCAATGCCTGATGATGCTTTCTCCAAAATGCTTCTTTTTTCATTTCAGCCTCAACTCGGGCACAATAATTTATTAGCTCCTTTAGAACAAACTTTCTAACGGGCATCCCTGTCAGCCCTTCCTTTCTGCCACTTGATCTTTCTGTGTATAGAGTGAAACATGCCTATGGGACTTAGCTGTCTGTCTACTTTTACCTACTCCCCACGGCGTCAGGAGCCAGTCCTCGCAGCCTGACACACTTTCTTTTTCTAGATTCTTCTCTTCTACCCATCTGCTCCCTGTCACTCATCCACACATAGATTTAGCTGCTACTAAAAATTTTTTGAATATACCACACATTTCCGCCTAAACTTTTCTCTGGTTTGATCCTCATCACTTAAAACTCATTTTCTGTCCACTCACCTTCCTCCTTCCAGAAGTAAAAATCCTTTCTTCTGTGTCCTCTCTTAACTGTGGTCGGCAAAGTGCGGCTTGCAAGCCACATGCGACTCTTTGGCCTCATGAGTGTGACTCTTTCACAAAATACCACGGCCTGGGCGAGTCTATTTTTGAAGAAGTGGCGTTAGAAGAAGTTTTAAGTTTAAAAAGTTTGGCTCTCAAAAGAAATTTCAATTGTTGTTCTGTCGATGCTCGGCTCTGTTGACTAATGAGTTTGCTGACCACTGTCTTAGCACAATTTTATTCTCTTTCGCTGTCACTGGATATACCCCATGATGGTTAATTGTCTATGTGAGGCTTTCTCAGGCTAAATTATGAATTTCTTAAGAGAGCTTTCTTTCCATCTCTTGTGGAAAAAACTCACTCGTCAGTGTTTGGGATTTTATATGTGTCCCATTAAACTGTGCTGAAGGAGGGGTGTGTTGAAATGTATTCACATTCTCAGAGGTGCAGTTATTGTACCAAAAGGATGGAGAAGTAAAGATTAGAATGAAGCAAAAAGAGCTCCTTTGTCTTTTTTTTTCTTTTCTTTTCTTGAGAGCTAGAGATTTAAATTTATGTCAAACATGGGAATTCTGAAAAGTCAGAGAACAGCAAATGGCAGCATTACCTGCAAATTACTGTTTAAATGAGACCCACCAAGGCATTGTCTCTGCCATTTGTTATCAATCTATTGTATTGATGATTTTTAAATAAGAACCATTCTCTGCCCAGGTTAGCATTGAATTGATTGGGTAGCATGTATTGATTGGTTAGTATGAATTGGTTGGCAATAGATAGCTTTACTCAATTAAATGTGTACCAAAAAAGTGTCATCTCTGTCTTCTCCTTGTTAAAATAGAGGTGGAAAGAGAACTTGGAGTAAAGTGCTAGACTTAATTATAAGACACATTGTAATAAATAAAAAAGAAACAAGGGACAAGAAAATATTATGATCTGGATAATTAATGAAACTTATTTATCTGGTTGTTGAAAAAATAGATAAGGATAACAAGAAGGAAAGGAGGAATTTCATGTGAAGGAAAGGACATGGGTTAATTGACAAGAAAATTGCTGATTTGCAAGCCGTATTTTAGCAAATATCTGTATTAACATTTATGAATTTAAAGTTATTTTGTTCTACTTTGTTTTCTTTCTCGCAGGTGGGTCAGATATTGAATACCTAGACTTCTATAAGCCTGTCGTGTGGTTTTGGATCCTCGTAGGACTTGCTTATTTTGCTGCTGTCCTGAGCATGATTGGAGACTGGCTCCGAGTGATTTCGAAAAAGACAAAGGAAGAGGTAAGAATTAAGAATTTTTTTTTTTTTTTTTTCTATTTAATAAATGTTAAACAACTTTTTTTTTTACATTTATATTTTAAAGCAATATTTAAACATTTAGTTTTTAAATACTTATGTTTAGTATGAGTTTGTTTTACATGGCTATCATATGATTTATAAGATTTATAATTCATTCAGTTTACCAAATACTAAACATTCCTCTATATTTCTGATGCTATCTAGGTGCATAGGGTAATTTGTGCTAAAAAGGATGTAATTAAAGTGGTGTTTTTTTTTTCATTATTTTTTTTGTTTGTTTCATTTTTTTCTCTCAAAGGATCAAAGTAAATTTTATTCCATAGAAAAAGTATAATAGAAAATAATTTTGTTAAGGTATCAGTAGCATGAAAATGTGAATGTATTGTGGAATATTTAATTTAGTCAATTATTTTCTTTTTTGTTATGTCTACATAAATGTGTGGTAGTCCAGATGTTTACAAACACATATATTACAAACACATAAATGCTCCAAAGCATATGTGCTATGTGTTATGGCCAATTTCCAATTTCCTAACATATTAATTTTAGTTGCTCTAAAATATACACTTTTACATATTTTGAACTATATATATATAGAAATGAATATCGGAATATGACATGTTAGAAAATTTAAAATTTAAATCTGATTTTTGAAATTATAGAGCTCTGAAATTAAATTTTGATTTAATGTTTTTAGGTCCAGAAGTCCTGTTAGTTTGAATGTGATAGAATAGTATGAATTTTGTGTGTTTTTCTTCTGGTTGTTAGCCAATTTTACTAAACTTTTTTCAGAGGACAAGTCTATAAAACTTGTACCAATTATTTTTCTTTATCCCCTTTAAGTCGTGATCTGCTGTTCATTAGCTAAGAGATAGTGTCAAAATCTTTGATACATACACTGATCTTTAAACATACACCCAAAAGAAATAGAATATGATAAAGTTAATTCATCTCTACAGACAAAACAATTTTATTTGAAAATCCTCAAGTCATATAATTTCATATAAATACTGAAGGTACCCATGGTGATTAGAAAGAATATAAGTTATCCAATACTTCTCTTCATGGATATTATATTTCTCAGTTGGGCATTCATGTGTTCAGTCTGTATGCATTCATGTATATTTTCATTGCACCATAAAACCAAAGTCTTCTTATTAGAAACAAATCAGCAAGACAATATGCTTGGCATTCTACTTTAAATCATGTGAAATGTTCTACGTTGTATAAGACACCAATTTATTTGTCTTAGCCTTGGACAAGTTCCTTGTCTGTGTGTGTGAGAGAGAGAGAGAGGGGGGGGGGGGGGAGGAAGGGAGGGAGAGGGGAAAGGAGGGAGGGAAAAAGAGAAGGGAGAGAGAATGAATTGTGATTATTTTCACTACAATGTATTTTCAATGTACTTTGAAGGGTCTTGAGATGCTAAGGAAAAAAAGAAATTGTAAATAGGAACTATTTTAGATGACAAGCTAAAAGGAGGACTTCTCAAACATCTACCCATAAACTGGCTTTCTTTCAAATGGTTTCTTAGAAACACGCACATGCCTTTATTTTTTAAATAAAATAGAACCGAACAGAATATATCTCTTATAGTTAAGAAAAAATAATAGTTTGTGAAATATATATTATACATATATTATAAACATACCACATATTATATACATACATATATATGTACATACTAATAATATTGTGGATCACAGTTTGAAAGCCACTAAGGCACATAGTGAACAGAACTGCATCACACTGCCCTATTTAATTAAATATCCAGGAATATTTGATTAATGTTTTAAAAACTGTGTGTTAAAAACCAGTGCTTTGGGGTAGGACTGATGGTGCAGAGCTTCTTCAGAGTAACGAGCTAGCCATCTGTACTGGTGCTCCAGCTGCCATCGCAAAGCACCGCAGACTGGGTGGCTTAACTGTCAGAAAGGGATTTTCTCACAATTCAGGAGGCTGGAGGTGCCAGCAGGTTTGGTTTCTGGGAGGTCTCCCTCCTCAGCTTGCAGATGGTGCCTTCTGGCGGTGTCCTTGTGTGGCCTCTCCTCTGTGCACACGCATGGGGGAGGGGAGAGCGCATGGTGGCTTGCTTCTTCTTAGAAGGACACCAGTACTGTGGGGCTGGAGCTCCACACTGTGACCTCATTTAACCTTAACCACGCCCTTTCAGGCCTTATCTCCAAACATTACAGTCCCTTTTGGGCTTCATCATCTGAATTTGTGGAGAATGCAATTCAGGCGATGACAGCATTCTTTGAAATAAAGTTGCATTTGTACATGCATTGGTTTATTTCATATGAAAAACAAGTTTGTGTGCCTACTGATGAGAGGTCTTCATGATTCGCAACCAAAAGTGTGAGATGTATCACCGTGTTTTCTTGCTTTTAAACACTGAAAAGTAGTATAGTTTTTTCCTTTTGGCTTCTCTCTTGCCTTGTGAGTAACATCCTTTCTGGTGGCTGCATCTGTAGGAAGTTCATGGGAGTGAAGGCCATGAGCAAGTTCATGTGAATAGTTTGGAGCTGCAGCTGCACCAGACAGTCGAGCCAATTGAAATAGGACTATCGATTTGAGCAGATGTGTATTTTCTAATGTAAGTGCTGTTTAGGGAAGTGACAAAATCAGGACACAAATTCAATAGAAAATGTAAAGAAAGGAAGGGAATGACAATTTATAATTTATCTATAGATCATCAGGACCAAAGTCTTATAAGTGAAATACTACTAGAATTTCTACAACTCTTGATAAAGATTATTAGGTCATTTTTATTTTGAAGTATCTCACTAAAGGGCATAATTAAATAAAAATTAAATGCATCCTCGTTGTCATTTTTACATAGGTAAACCATGCCACATGACCATTCAGTCTGTATTTCTTACCTTCTAACCTAAATCATTCCAGATTTTTAAATATTCCCTACATGTTCAGAAGCAACAAGGGTATTTCTAGTTTTAAATTTTGATGAATGAAAATGCCAAATCATTTTGATAATGGAATCCTCCCTATTAAAATATGTAACTAATACAGAATATAAGAAAATACAAAGTAATATATAGCATTAAATCTCCAGTTGAAAATACTAAGACACATGCTTTCCTTGAATGAAAAGATTTTGACAAATCATAAACTCCAATCTTACATAATTTAAAAAACCCCCACAAATAATCTTGGAACATAAATCTAGTTAGATTATAGTTTAAAAACAAATATGATATATTGAGTAAGTATAAACATAGTACCAATCGTATGTGCTCTTCTGTTTTTATGTTAAAATATATTGTTTCCAATGAAAACTAATTTTAATGAAAATATTATGTTTAGAAATAAGGAGAAATAGCTTAAATAAAACATGTTTGTAGGGCTAGCCCCTCTGACATAGTTGAAGAGGAGATCATCAGTTGGAATAATACTGCAAGGCTTTAAAAGTGTCACATATAATTACAATTGATGTGCATTCCTCAAGGAGAATAGTAATGACCTCAATGATTTTTCCATGGAGACATACGGCTTTCTATAAAGTGTTTCATTATTTTTAAATCTCTAATGGAAAGTAGGTCCATGTGCAACAATAAGAACTGATATGACTACCTTTTTCTAAAGCCATGTGCCTTCCTCTGAGGAACTGATGTTTTCATTTAGAAAATAAAGATTATTTAGTTATTCTGGATAACACAGTGATACTAATATCTGACGCAAGAGAGGTAAAAATAAGATGTGATCACAAAATTCAGAAGGTAAATTCCTAAGCAAGCAGGGAATAGGCATCTTTATTATGCATAAACATAGTTCAGTTTGATACCATTTACATTCCTCAAGTGGGAAAGGCCTGGATTTTTGTACAGTTCCTGCGTTGATGTACATATACCACAGTGTTTGGAATGTTCCTGTCCATGTGTGAGACGAACACTGCCACAGCTCCTATCATAGCACGGTGGTATCCTGGCCCTACAGCTGGCCACAGTGAGTGGATAGCCAAGCATGCTTCTTTTTTTATTTCAGAGAGAAAGGGAGGGAGGGAGGGAAGGAGAGGGGAAGGGAGAGAGAAATGTCAACAATGAGAGACAATCATTGATCGGCTGCCTCCTGCACACGCACACTGAGGATTGAGTCCACAATTGGGCATGTGCCCTAACTGGGAATTGAATCATCGTTCATAGGTTGGTGCTCAACCACTGAGCTACGCCAGCCAAGCCAAGTATCACTCCTTAACCAGTAGCCTGGAGGTGTTCATGTACATGGGAATGCTCACTTTAGGACGTTGGCCTTTTCTCAGTCATATTAGGAAAACTCCCTTTTCTTGGGAAGCACCAGTGCCAAGAAGCCTTGAGAGAACTGGTACTTGGCCCCGCACTGTGAAGCAGCTTGAGAATATGGAGGGATATAGTTTTCTTCTGCCAGTTACCAGGCCAGAGAGCATTTGGTCTTCTCTGAAAGTCACTCCCTTCAGTGACGAAGCTAGGATTTTGTGACTATCATGGCTGGAGATGAGCAGAAAAAGAGCAGTTACAACCTGGGCACTGGGAAGTTTGCTGTGCAGCACTTTGTCATAATTTCTTATGGGAGAAGTGTTTGTAATATGAAAGGCTTTAGATTTCATTTGAAATAATTCTATTCTGAAAACCCTAGGGAGTCCTGGAAGGACTTTAAGTTAGAGGAATGAGTCACCTTGTCAACAATAAGGAAGATGGCTAAGAAACAAAGCTGGATGCAAGAAATCAGTTGGGACATGATTGTAAAGAATAAAGATCTATTGCCTGATCACACTGGCATAGAGATGGAAGTAGGGATTTCAAAAGTACTTGGGGACAGAAGGAATAGGATTTGATAATTCATTAGCTATGGACAGTAAAGAGAAAGGGAGGCACAGCTGGCATGACTCAGTGGTTGAGCATCACCCTATGAACCAGGAGGTCAGGTTCAATTCCCGGTCAGGGCATATGCCTGGGTTGCAGTTTGGGGTATGCTGGAGCCAGCCGGCCAAT